GGTGAGATTTGAACAGCCGAACTGCAGTCAGCTGAAGTAACCTGCAGTGCTGCATTTAACCACTGCGCCACCTCGGCTCTGGGGCCATGCACATGTGCAGACATGTGTGCATCAGCTGGCTGCTCAAGTGGCCGTTAGGCCACAGCGCACAGGTTATGGACCCCTGGCCTAGTACTTTCTCAGCTCAGTTAAGGAATTCAGTACTATAGCATTCTTGACAGATGTCCCTCTAGCCTCTTTTTAAATACATCCATTTAGGAAGATCTATTAACTCTCAAGGCATTGCTGAACAGCTCTTAACCTTTTTCATGATGTCCCATAAAAATGTTATTTCCCATTGTTTAAATGAAAATAAAATATTTGCTGCTCAGAACTAAGGTGCCATGATGACTCCATTGCTTTGAAGAAAAATGCCTTTATATATGCTATGTGATTTGGAAACTATAACAGGAATAGCATTTCACCCATCAATGTAACAATAATAGCTACAGATCCTGTGGCTCTCATTCTGATTGCAGTGAGCTAAGGAATTCATGAATTTATTTAAAAGTAACCACACTCTGTACTGGATGCCAAATGTTTCAAAAATGACCCTTGTAGACAAGTGAAAGAGGCTCCAGTTTCACATCAAGCTTTTAAGTGAGAATGATGTGTGAATTGGTTTACAGAAAATTCTTACAACTGCAGATATCACAGTGTCCTTAAGCTGAGCAGTTAAGTGTGAAAGGAAAAAGGTGGAGATTTTTCCAGATTACATAGAGATAACTTGATAAAAAAGTTTAATGGAATTATTTTTTGAGAATGCTGAAGTATAATTGTGAAATTCTATGGAACGGTGGATGGCAAAGGCAAGAAGACCAGGAGGAACATTGCAATGGGTCGGACACGACTTTGCGACTTAACAACAAACAACAAATAGAACGGGTGTCAAACTCAATTTCATTGAGGGCTGCATCAGGGTTGTGTTTGACCTTGGGGGGGCGTGGCCAGCTGGACATCACTTGTGTCTGGGGTGCCTGTGATGGCTTGAACAGTATGCCAGCAAAAACGGGCTCCCGAGTTTAATTTTCGGCTGCAACTGCTTCCTGTAACCCTCTAACAGCAAAAATGGAGCTTGGGAGGGTCTCCTATGCCCCTTGCAAGTTCCGTTTTTGGCCTCGATGGCCTCCTGCAAATTTCTGCCAGTGAAAACATAGCTCGGGAGGGCTGTGAACGACCCTCCCGAGCTCCATTTTTGGTGGCAGAGGCACCGTGGGCCGGTCCTTTGCTGTTCCCACGGTGGCCCCATGGGCCAGATTTAAGCACCCCGAGGGCTGGATCTGGCTCCTAGGCCTTGAGTTGGACACTCCTGCTATAGAACAATGGCTGCCTTGTCACTTTATAAACTGAGTTTTTTCTTTTCTTTTGCAGAGACGTCAGTGAGAAAGTCACAGTGAAAGGGTACGTTCAATCAGTTTGTGCTCGTTCTTGCATTTTTTGTTGAACAACAAATAGGGTTATGTCATTGGTTTGTTACTTGTCTCATTTATAGATTTAGAAAATTCAACATCTTGGGAACAAATACCAAAGTATTGAACATGGAAGAGTCAAATGGGAGCCTATCAGCAGAATTTAGACACCTGGTAAGGTGCTTCTGGCACCTCTGTGTTATTTGATATGCTGAAGTTGTTTTGTCTCCTTGCTAGTTATTTTTTTTTGCACTTAGTGTTGCTTTTTTTATAGAGCTATTTAAACCTTTTGAAGCCTATCTCAATCTTGTAGACTCTGGATAGCACTGAGCAGCGTAATAATATAAATATAGAGAGAAACAGCAACAAATAAAAACCGTAATAAGAAAAACAATAACCTACAATCAACTAAATAGTCAACTCCAGTTAAAAGCACTTTATGATCCCTGACTGAGACAAGGATGTCAGTTTATTATTTTATTTATTATTTTCAGAAGCCTTTTGGTGAATCTCATCCTGGTGGGTTTATAGGGAAATTGTTAAAAGTTGGAATGGATTTATGTGGGATACTCCTATATCCGTGATGGCAAACCTATGGCACACATGCCACAGATGGCCAACAGAGCCCTCTGTGGACACACTGCGCGTGCATGTGCATCTCCCGCCAATCAGCTGATTTTCTGGTTTCTGCCCCCCATGGCCCATTTTTGCTCCCAGGAGGCTGCAGGGAGACCTACTAGGCCCAAAATGGGTTGTGGGGGGGAACGTGTGCACATGCGCGGGAGGAGTATGGAGGGGGGGTCACACTCATACTGCATTATGGGTGCGGGCACACACACGTTCGGTATGCGATGACAACAAGTTTAGCCATCACTGTCCTATATGAAGAAATGGACCCATAAATGGACATATGGAAGATAGTGAAAGGGGCTACGCTGAGCAAGAAATGTTTGAACCGTGCATAAAAAAATGTTGAAAGGTATGTGGTTTAACCAAATTCTGTTCTTTTGCAGCAATTAAAAGAGCAGAAGAATGTTTCAAGATCTAATGAGGTAAGGAAAATATGCCTTAGCACTTTAGTGAATCTGTATAGCTTATTTAAAAACTCCTAAATCAGAATTCTGTGTTTTAGGCTTCCATGCTGCAGAAACAAAAGCCAATATGTGCATCAGAGGTCTGCAAGGGGCGTGCATAAGCGCACCAGTGTGCCTACCGTCTCTGTCCTACTGTCCCCATTTCTGTGTACTCATTTCATGTGCTCATGTCCATGTTTATACTTATACCTGTTATCTCATGTGTGACAAACTAAATCAATGAACTAATTGTGTTAATAGTAATAGATTCACCCGTTCTTTTTTTTTTTCAACTTGTCACATAGAACAGTTTGATACTAATCCCTTAAGATGCTCTTAAAGATACTTGAATGGTTTTTAAAAATGGGATAAAAAGGAATCCCAACTCCAAATTGGCTAAGAATTTATATCTACATCAGATCTTGGGTTTGCCTTAATTCAGATGAGAATTCCACCTATCAGTTTCACTCTATGCCATCTGGAGTACTAAGATTTGTCATCTCCTTCCTGAGACGCACCTCAGAATTCATGCAAACCTCATTGCTGATCGCGCCTGTTCTAACCTATTTACAGGTTCAAAACAGATAAGATTAAATCCTTATTCTGCGCTGGGGTTTCCAAATTTGGCAACTTTAAGACTTGTGGACTTCAAGTCTCTCAGAATTTTCCAGTCAGTTATGGCTGGCTGAGAAACGGGGAGTTGAAATTGGGAATTGAAGTCATCAAGTCTTAAGAGTTGCCAATTTGGAAACCCCTGTTCACACTTTTTAGGAACAAGGTGACCCTTTCTTACTTTCTTTGGTACCTAATGCATTAAATGAAAGGGATTTCCCTGTAATGACCCCACATCTAATAAATTTTAACAAAGTAACTGATTAATGACCCCCATAGGTAACAGAATGCCTTGTTATTTGAAATTGATTTGGTGCTGTCAGGCCATATTGGTGCTTTTAGTGCTTAAAGAAAGCCCTAAAAGTCAATTTATTAGCAAAGGTTCCCTCTTAATAAGTCTCATTCTTCTTTCTAAAGTTCCAGATTATAACTGCTGCTTTAATAGTTTAGAAGGGGTTGTTTAATTTCTGTAATTAATTTCAGTTGGGATTGCAATTTTTCTCTTTTTATAGATAAGCTATTTTATAAATAAGCTATTTATATTAGAAAGACTAAAATATAAGGCTGTCAAATAGCTAAAGTTAGTAAAGGACATTAAACTAAAGTTCCTCTCTTATTTTTTAAGGGCCCTCTCATTGTAACCGAAGAACTCCATTCGCTCTGTTTTGAGACAAAATGGGAACAGAACACAGTTGTAATTGAATTGGAAGTAAGTAGATTTAAAAAATTAAAGGCATAAAGTAGCATATCAATAACTTCATTTCAGAAGAAGCGGGTAATCTTTTGGTGGCCAAGGGGCCACACTTGACATTTGAAGGAAGATCAAAGATGACAAAGTAAGGATGGCCATTTCACTTGCAGGTGACGCATCTCTAATAGAATTATTTTAGGATTATTACAACATTTATTAGTTTCTAAGATCAAAATACCAGGAAGCTGCGTTACCAATTTTTCACAGTCAGAAAGAGTCAACAGTTTTGATTAACAGTCAAAACTCTTAGTCAAAAGAGTTTTCAAGGGCTGCAAAACGCAGTGTGCAGGCTTTACGGCCACGGGTTTGTTCAATTTGTATAGTTGCCCATCTCACATTTTTGTCTGTGGGTGGCTCGTACAGTAAAAATGCAAACGAACAAAACAATTCAAACTATTTTTAATTTTAAAAAAAATAATTAAAATTTGCACCTTTCTCACCACTCATCTTTCCTGCAACCTTCTCCTATGGGTATATTATGATTTATCAATTGTGGTTTGTATCTTATGATTTATGACTTATGATCCAGAATGCAGCCGCGCGAGCGATATTGGGTGTACCGAGATACACCCATATTACACCTGTCCTCCGCGAGCTTCACTGGCTGCCAATTGGTCTCCGGATGCAATTCAAGGTGTTGGTTATTACCTTTAAAGTCCTACATGGCTTAGGACCAGCCTATCTGCGAGACTGCCTACTGCCATACACTTCCCAACGGTCGATAAGATCCCACAGGGTGGGCCTCCTTCGGATACCGTCAGCCGGTCAGTGTCGGCTGGCGCGCCCCCAGAGGAGATCCTTCTCTGTGGCTGCTCCGACCCTGTGGAATCAGGGTCGGAGCAGCC